CCCTTATCATAAAAAAAGCGAATAACTGGGGAAGTGTATCATATGATCACGCTATATCATGAAATGACAGGAAATAGGAAAATGTAAAAGATTGAACATTAACCCAGTGGAGTGAATGGTTAACTCATCTGCCTTGGGTTCGACCCCTGAAGGAGTTGTGACTATGCACTTCTGAGGAGTTTTATACTAGGAAGAAACAACTGTCTAAATAATGATAAAATAAAACTCGCGGCTCAAATTCTCCCAGGACATTCGTAACGACTATGAACTGGACATTATATCACCATTATTATCATTACTATTTATTGACACATTTGTTGTTCACCGTTGTTGTATTGGATCGAATTGTTCAACCTCTTTTGATATATGGGTTCCTGTGCGAATTCCTTGATATTGCTTGAATGCTAATTATGATAATTTGGTCGGTTGTAGGCTAGCTGAGGAATCTAGGATGCGCGTTCCATCCTATTTGGAACTCGTGAGCTGGATGCTACTTGAACCCCATTGAGTGTTGTTGTCCCCACTGACACTCGAACCTCATACCTATAGCTTCAAACGCCAAGGCGTTATCCATTATGCCACGAAGGAACGACAACCACATCTGGATTCCTCTCCTAGCCACAATCAACCAAATTACCGTTATTATTATTACTATTATTATTATTATTATTATTATTATTTCAAGGCAGTCTTCGTCACAGTTGAAGAACCATTGAAAATCTGAAAGTACTATACAACTGTTTCGTTCCAGTACAGGACTCCCCAGCAGTACGCACCCATGATACCACCAGGGGTTGAACTCAGGACCTACAGGTCCCACAGTGAACTCATGTGATAGATTATCCGGAAGTGACATGCTTGGAGATGGATATCTCGAAGTTTCAATGAAAAGATGCCATCTGTGGGAGCAAGTAGATGGAAGTAAAGCGGATGCTAAGTGAAGGCATTGGTGGATAGTCACGCTATATCACCAATTGTTAAAAGTGAGAACCTATGGACCATTGAACTCCAATTCGATGACAGAGTGGTTAACTCCCTCACCTCGAGACCTGAAGGTCCCTATTTTGATCCCTGGTAAGGTGCTTACTGCTGAGGAGTCCCGTGCTGAGATGAAACAACTGTCTGGTGCTCTCAGATTTTCAATTCTTCTCCAACTCATGTCAGTTCGTCATGAATACTACCTTGAAATAAATAAGATTGTCAAAAACCTCCAACCATATTATTATTACTATTATCATTACTCTGGAAACTTCGAAACTAATAATTTAGTTGAAAATGATAGCTAACTATAAAACCGAGTTACACTATGAAAATAATTAAGTCCCAAAAGTATTTACGCTGAAAATAGAGACACTAGAAATATTCATTGCTCATTGGACAACAGTATCAAAAAATCAATAAAATCTAAGTGAACCAATGAGAAAACGACACGTTGATGTATATTTTATGACACTTCCAATAACCAATGAAAATTGAGAATAAAATTCATTGAAATTATTCTTATCTATCTTTCCAAAACCAGAGAGGAAAATGACAACATGACAGAGTAAAAATGAGGTGTAAAGAACAAGAACAGATTTAATAATAAGGTCATATCGATATAGGTATGTAACCGTACAAATCATACTAGTACACTAAGCTGAAAGACAAGAGAAATAAAGATGATAGCAGTCAAAAGAGAGTAAAGAGGATTGAGAAAATCTAGAAACTCTGAATGATAATGAAGATAGGAATAATGTGTGGATATATCTACTCCATTAGGATTGATCCTGAGATGTGTCACAGTCTTCAACCAATGGTTGATGTTGTGTCATAAGGACCCTTACCAAGAAGTCTATATTTCCTTACACCATTCAGGTCAAAGGTCAAAAATGCTTTATGTGCTGATGACGTGTTTCAATCTGGCCACTATAGATCTGTGAAACAAGGTCATTGAAGGTGGAAGACATGAGAAGGCTTCAAGTGTTTGACCACCGTTGTCTTCATAGTAGATAGTGTAGGCCGTCTTTCGTGGTGTCACCATGTGATTAACTCAGAAGTGAGATGTAGATGTAGAGTTTTAGGGAGATAGAAGAGGTAAGTGCGTTGAGGAGGTTGTGAACCTTCATCGACTGAGATGGTTGGGACACGTATTACGTATGCCTAGTCGCCGTCTACCTCGTCACACAATGTTGGCTGAAGTAGGTCCAGGCTGGTAAAAGGCCCAAGGTGGCCAAACTAAAACATGGCACCAATGTATGAAGTCTCTGACTGTTGGTTTTAGCCATGGGACGATACAGACTAGGTGGTTTGGGTCCGCGGGACAAGAGGAACCAGTGAATGGAGACTGACTCTAGACGTTATTGCTCAGAAACGATGTCTTACACACATTATCCTCATCTTAACGATGCTATACCGAATCTCACCATTTTCTCATTCTTTCTTTCTCTCCTTTGGTACTTTATATTTCTTTTGTCTGCATTCTCTTATCTTCATCTTGCGCCTCACTGCCTTTTTACTTGATGTACTGGTCCTAGGTTGATCTGGATGGATGGATGACTATAAAGCTTTTACCAGCCTAGACTTACTTCGGTCAACATTGTGTGATGAGGTAGACAATCAACAACCGTCTCCGCTCTTATCAGCCAACTTTCGTTTGTCAACTATAACAAGAGCACCAGTGAGCAATTCATTTATCACAAGTAAATAATAATAGTCTAGAGCTCAGAGGTGATTTCTTTTAGGACGAAATTTTTGATTCGTTGGATCAACCCCGTTTAGATATCGTTAGAGCTAACCATTGATACAAGCTGGAAAGGATATGTGATTATATTTCAGCCCAACAATTTAATAGTACCTTGGTAACCACGAGAACTCAATGTTCAAGGTTCCAGTCTACATCAGATCACGAGAGACACGGAGAGAGAGAGAGAGAGAGCACTGTTGACTAGTTTCAAAATAAAACAAATCATCATGAACTGACAGTAGTTGGAGGAATATTGGGAACCTTGGGAGCACTGACACGTGTTACGTCCCAGTATGCGACTCCTCAACAGTGCACACCCATGATGAATTCCAACCTAAAATCAACTGATAGATCTCTATAAAACCTCCAGATAGAATTACTCTAGCGCTCATTAGGGATTAGCTTCCAGAGATTACTCCTGAAGTTCCAATGAGAAGTCGTGACCAGTGTAGTCAATCAAGTCGAACATGATAACGGCTACTCAACGACGAAGTCGGATGTAGGTGGCGCTATATGATGAACTGACAGAAGTAGGAAGTGTGGACAACTGGTAGCGTGCTGGCCGTGTAACCCGGGGGTCTTGAGTTCGGTTCCTAGCTGGCGGGGTCATGGGTGCGCATTGTTGAGGAGTTTCATACGCGGACGAAACAGCTGTCCAGTGCCCCTAGGTTTCTAATGTTCCTCCAAGTGACGTCAGTTCATGATGAATTATTCCAACCTAAAATCAGTTAATGACTAAATAAAAATAAATAATAATAATAAGGCCCGTTGGGATCCACGGAAAAAGAGAAATCAGTGGTTGAAGAGTCTAGGTGATATGGCTGGGAACCGATGTCAGTAGTGCAGATGTATAACACATATTATCCTCATCTTAACCATTATACTTAATCTCATCATCTTCTGATCCTTTCTTCCTCTCTTTTTCTACTTTCATAGCTAAATTTAAAGCAAACAAATGAAACATACATACAGCCTGTGTGTAACTGGCCTAAAACATGGGCCTCCTAGGCTGTAATGGTCACGTAAAGCACCACTATTGACCTAACTTCTTTCTTATGTGCTTCAAGAAGAAGAAGTAACCTTACACTGTGTATGTGTGTGTGTGTGTGTGCAGTCGATAAGTGTCAACCGCCCTTATAACTCTATCAACATGTAAATTCCTACAATAATACATTGAATGCTGACATGACTTGTTATGATGTGTTTAACTACAGCTACTGATTTTGATGTACACACTTTATCATCTCAAAATATTAGTTAAACCCATTGCTTCACAGACCATATGACTGTATGCAAGAATACTAACAGTACTTAGATCACATAGAATGATTTTTTTCCTCAGCATCAGATCCAGTTGCCAACAGGATCTTACCTTCACATCAATCACCAAAGTTTTAGTACGGCTGCCAAGTGACTCTGATGTAATTCAAATCCTACTGCCACATAGATTGTCAGTTCGTCTTCAATCATCACTCCAGCATAGCAACAACAAAAACCTTAGGCATGAAAACACCTTAAATAGTAGATAATCAATACTGAATGTCTGACCAGCAATGATGACAAGAAAAGAAAGTCATGTCAATACACATGAAATCTAAGATACCTACGAAAAACAGAAAGCTAGGCAGAATAAAAATTTTTTCTTCAAGTTAGTATATCCCAAGGACAAGTGTCTCGTCTGACTAGTGTGAGACTCTTCAGCAGTACGCATGCACACCCCCAGGGATCGAAACTGCGACCTTCAGATTCCGTTGCCAGCGCATTACCATTGAGCAGGTCATTGGATCAAAATCCAATGGCCCATATTTCCAACTTCTGTCAGTTCATGACATAGCGTGACCGCCACCCAATGTCATCGTTGAGGATTTGTCCCCAAAGCCACTATGTTTGTCCCAGTGGAACTTCAGGAGCCACCTATTGAGGACAAATATTCAACGACGACATTGGGTAACGGTCGCGCTATATCGTGAACTGACCGAAGTTGGAAATGTGGACCACTGGATCCCGACCCAACGCCTAGCTCAACGGCAACGTGCTAGCCATGAAACCTGAAGGTCGTGGGTTCGATCCCTGGCGGGGTGAGCGCTGCTGAGGAGTCCCGTACTAGTCGGACGAAACATCTGGCTGTCCAGTGCTCTCAGGTTTCCAATGTTCCTCCAAGTGACATCAGTCCATGATGAATACCTCCCCCCCCCACCGAAATTCAACAGAATACAAAAAAACTAAATCGGAATATATATAAAGGAGAAAAAAAGAACCAGATTTATTCACTCACTTGCACCAAGAAAGCCTGAACCATACGATGCTGAATCTTCACTAAAAAAAAATAATTTTAGGTGGAAATATTCTATTGAAAGACTGGAATAAGACTTACTTGAAACAATTTTCATTATATATCATATACCATATTCTATTAGAAGCAGGTCCCTTGTAACCAGTATACCGTTCAGGATTTTTTAATAGATCCACATAGATCATTTTCCCAGAACTATCGTCTAAAAACCAAATAAGAAAAATAGAATATTTTTTGATTGTTTGATTAGTAGAAGAAAACTTCAATGTTAGACGGTTGAAGGTTATATCGGTAGGAAGGTTCATTCAATCTTGAATTTTGTGCTTGTTGGCACTCGTTACAGTTAGGCGTATTACCTGCAACAATCCATCCATTCAAATCAACATATCACCATGCATTACTGCCAAAAAGTTACAATTGACACACCTCATATCATTACATCAAGTAAACAAGGCAGTGAGGTGCATAATGAAGATAAGAGAATGTAGACAAAAGAAATATAAAGAACTAAACAGAGAGAAAGGAAGAATAACAAAATGGTAGGATTCAGGATAGCCTCGTTAACATGACGATTATGCATGTATACATCTGCATCATTCACACTCGCTCTCAGCCATATCACCTAAAGTCAGTATCCAACCACTGGTTTCTCGTGTCCCGCCAACCCCAAACATCAAGTAGTCTGCATCGAACCCCCACCTAACCCCACCCCACCCCACCCCTACATCACTCAAACCAACAGCTTAACACTTCACATATTTGATGCCATGTTTTAGTCTCGCCACCTACACCCTTCTTTACCAGTTTCAACTTACTTCAGCCAACATTGTGTAACAAGGCTTACGTGACACGTCCCTGACAGCCATCTCACTCCATCAAGGTTCACAACCTCCTAAACCCACTTACCTCTTCTATATCCCGAAAACTCTACATCTCACCTCTACGTTAATCACATGGTGACACCACGAAATACAGCCTACACTATCTACTATGAAGACAACGGTGGTCAAACACTTGAAGCCTTCTCATGTCTTCCACCTTCAATACATATCTTTCACAGCCATACATACAGTAGAACACAACGGACTAATGTGCAGTACACCAGACCCTTATTACACAATCGGATATTACGACAGCGACATAGGTGGTGTAAGTTGACAAAAGCCAGTCGAGCCCTTTTTTATTCCTGCAGAGATTTCACCGGCCACTGAGCCAACAGGGCAGGGCTCATCCCACTTCCTAGGTGAGTGAAGTCGTCAACATACTCAACTACTTCACTCTCTATTGTAAGTCATGGCACCGTTGAAGACCAACCTTGGACCAATAGTTTGCATATGGGTGGTGAGAAATGCATCCGAAACGTTTTCAAACTGCCACTCAAAGTATCCAGAAGACTCTGCATCTTGTCCGAGTTTTCCATTTGCAGGCCTATGTCATTTGCGTATTCTAGGTCTGACGAAAATTCTCTAGTGATTAGGTCAACCTCTGTGTAGTCAGGTGACGAGAGGGAGACCTCCTTAAGAATATCTATGATGAAATTGAATAAGAATGGAGAGAATGGGCACCTTTGACAGACACTTCTTCACGGGTACATCTTCCCGGACATCTCACCATAGACTCTAATACACCTACAAGTGTTCGAGTAGAGAGCCTTCAATAAGGTGATGTACTTACTCGGCACGCCTTTTAGTGAGAGACATTGCCATGAGACTTCTCGATCAACGGAGTCGAACGCCATCTTCAGGTCGAGAAATACGGCTGTTGTCGGGCGTCGGTAGGCGTGCCTGTTTGAATATTTGGTCGATACACCCGCGGCCCGGTCTAAAGCCTGCCTGGTATTCTCGGGCTCGCTATTCCCGAGCCCAATCAGGCGTAGAAGAATTATATAACCTAGAATTTTAGATACTATGTTCATCAGACTGATTCGACTGCGGTCGTCACAAGAGGATTTCTCGCCTTTCTTGAAGACCGGAATAATCAGACAAGTCACAGGGGATCATATTTGATTCCCATATACCTGCAACCTCGAGAGAACTGATGTCCTTAAAGAGATTTTAATCCGCATTATTCCGTGCTGCTGTCAGAGATGTTGCCACTGAGCTATTTCGGCCATGGCTGACATCCTATAAGACTGAAGTGTAACCAATTTCACATTGTCTATTCCTAAATGTTTACCGCATTTTATCTACTATAGAGGTCAACAATGTCATCAAAAAGATGAATATAATGGAAGCTTTTTTTCAAGTTGCTGGATTTTTGGTTTATTTTATAACTGTTACTGGACAGAATGAGGTTAATCGGCTACCTGTGGGAAGTTAAATGACTCTATTCTGTGGTACGAATTTATTTTATCTACATCGGTTTAGACAGTTGGGAAATGCCGCTAAGCCCCGAAAATATACACTCGCAATAGCTAAGTGAACAGTGTCTTCATAGCATTGCTTGCGTTTGGCGAAATCACCTTATGAGCAATGCTGAAGTGAGGCGAAGTGTACTGCGCAAGACAAACAAGTCAATAGATGAGGTTGTGAACCTTAGTTGACTGAGATAGCATGAACATGTACACAGTATGCCAAGCCATCACCTACTTACCTCAGTGTGCTATGCTAATGAAAATTGGATTAGGTTGAAAGGGAGTTCATATTAGCCAGACCTGGCACCAGTAGATGACTGTTGGTTTGAGTCATGTTAGGAGATGTAAACTACCTGGTTGAGGTCCCCGAGAAGATAGGAATCAGTGGTTGTCGACTCTTGTTGATATGGCGGATACATTCACTCCCTAATTTCTTCTAAAGTTTGATTATATCTGCAATAACCTTTATCTTCAAATTGTTTGTCTACTTTGGTATCAGGCTTTTTCTATTCACTTGTTCTTTGTATACCACCATGAATGACTGTGGCAACTTGGACCGATTCCCTACTGTACAAGGTTCTACGTTAATTTTGTCTATCAATCAACAAATCCTTGTATCATTTGACTATCTAAGATAGCTGTAGTTTAGTAGACTAATATTTATACTGGATGATGATTGAAGGTGAAATAAAACTTTGAAGTACAGCCAGATTCGAACCACCGGGTTTCCGACCCGATGCTCTACCAACTGAGCTGCTAGCTTAAAGTTGGTAGAATATCGGGACGAGAAGCCGCTGGTTTGAATCCGGCTGTGGTCCAAGTTTTCATTTCATCTTCAGTCATCATCCAGTATAAATCTTTGTATTACATTATACAACATAGAATAAGTAACATCGACAGTGAGAGGAAGAGAGAGAGAGAGAGAATCCATTCTGTTAGTGAGTTTGTCGATTCTAACCGTCTTAACTCCCTCCTATAGACGGTATCTTCTACGCACATACATCACAAATGAAAGTATTAGACTGGTAGCTGAACAGCAACAAAAATAAAACTGTCATAAATAAAGGATACATATATATGTAAGCAAGCTCCTATTCAATGCAGAATGATGTTTTCAACTGATCAACAATAAAATATTTGAAAAAAGTGAACACTTGAACATTGAACAACTTTGAGTCGAATTCCCCTGGATACTACAATGCCAGTTAACTGGAGAGAACAAGAACAATGTTTTGGTAGTGACTGTTGGGATGAAATGATAACCTGGATTAGCGAATTTTTAGTCTGAGTATTAGATGAAAATAGAATCTTCCCATTCTGGTTTACGTTTTGTTTGTTCGCATCATCCTTAACCTTATAAGGTTATTCCACATTAGACCTCTCTTTGACTTTATTCGATATACAATACACAGTGTAACAGTATAACCTAGTAGATGGTGTTATGAGCATAAATTATTAATCCTAGTTTACTAGGATTGGAAGAAGGGCTACCTTGTCAAACTTCCAAAGAAGGGAGTGGAATCATGCCCCTGTTCCTGTCCACCCCAAGCAAAATATTATGTCGCATCACCCTAGAGAGACTAAAACATGCTTTGAATTCAAAACTACAACCGGAAAAGGCTGGCTGGCCTTCAGGAAAAACAAATCATGTGTGGATCAAATTGCGACGCTACGCTACGCACCATCATGAAACAGAGCAAAATCTCTACCTCAACTTCATCAACTTTGAAAACGCGACCGATAGCGTCGACCGAGAAGTAATTTGGCAGGCAGCTGCTTCAACACTACGGTTTTAGTGCCACAAACCTTTACCAACCTCATTAAACAGCAGCTATTCGCTACCTGATGCCATACGCCACGTGATTCACAATGGAAAGCTCAGTGATGCCTTTGAAGTGAAGATAGGAGTAAGACAAGGTTGCCTACTATCAACGAACATTTTCCTTATTGTGGTCGACTGGACTGAATCATGCCACAAACTGTGAGGAGCAAGAAGAGGGGCATACGCTGTTTGACCGATAAAAAGACCCTAGGAGATTTGGATTTCACCGATCATCTATGTCTAGTGTCTTGCTAAAACTAACAAGTTGGAAGAGAAGGCAGGGCAACGAAGATGGGACTTCCCTCAGGTGAACGTAAAGCCAGAGGTAATGAACATACCCAACCAATGACAACAAAAACAACAAGCACCAACCACCATCAACGGGAGAAATATAAACGAAGTTCTCCCTTTCACCTACCTACTAGCATCGTCTCAACTACAGGCGGCACAGGCACAGATGAGGATGTCAAACCAGCCTGGATCGGGGAGACAGCAAAACAGGCCTTCCTGCATTAGTCTGAAATCAGTGTGGAAATCTACTGCACTGCACTGCATCGCAGTCCACTCCACTCAGCACAAAGCGTGAACAACGTCCGGATTTTCAACACTGATATCAGTCAAGTCAGTGCTTCTATGTGATGGTTGAGAGACTTGGAGGGTTACGAAAGGCATTCCCAACAAACTGCAGACATACATCAACAGCTGCCTACACTGGCTCGTTACTGAAGCTCAGACGTCCAGAACAATGAGAATAAGCAACAAGGAAATGTGGCCTGTCAACGAACGAACCAACCAAGAGCCAATTGCCCAACAAATATGCAGAAGAAGGAGGCGGAGATGGATTGGACAAACACTGAGAAGACGGTTTGGGGACATCACTCGTGAGGCCAGGCCATCGAGCGGAAGCCAAATGGGAAACAACGAGTTGGGCGTCCGAGGCGAGTGTGATATGGAGGAGATTGTGTGAGCAGGAAATGACAGCTTCTGGGCAGTCGTGGAGCCAGATTGAAAAGACTGCAGAGAACAGAGTGAAATGCAACGTGCTACTGAAGCCCTTTATTCCACTAAGAACCCAAGGGACAAATAAATAAATAATATCAAGGTAATCGTGCAACAACTCTTAACATAGGCTTATTTTTATAACCCTATCAGCTCACATGTTTTGTTTTGGTTGGTAGTTCAATTTTCCACATCTCCTGAATTACATGAGTTGAGTGTTAAATCTAATGAAGGAAAATCCAATAATCAATCCCTATCTTCACCTAACTACATTCACATTTATGTATAGTTGCTTGACCCCCGCTGTATTGTATCATCGTATGTCAGAGTATGCATTGCAATAAACACGTTTTCTTCAAGATTATTGATCATATAGTAGGTTTTATCATCTTACACTTGGCTAAATTCCTATGCGTCAATAATCGAATTGTGCTATACCAACCTAATATGGAATTATACTACACCATGATGCTCATGTGCTCAGGTTGTCATTAGCACATTGCTATGTAGTGGTTTTAACGCTAACATGCTCATCACTTGATAGGATAGTCTTGAGTTCTCCATTGCATAGGATCAAAGGTAGGTGAACTGTTGAATAATCACATACACAGATAAATTAGCACACATAAAGTAATCAGTATATAATTTACCATCAGGTTCACAAAATGTTAGTTCATCTTCATTATCATGACGTGTCCAATTGGCAATTATAGTTTTACGTTCTTCACTGAAATGATTAAAGAGAAAATTAGGCAGATAATATTAATCTACTCAGAAACATATTTACTATTTTATATATAAGGTTAACTGATCACCAAGGGACCTAAAAGTCCTGGATTTCATCCCAGACTAGGATGCTCAGTGCTCCCAGGTTTTTAATAATTCTCCAACTGATGTCAGTCTGTAATGAATACTAAATCGTTTTATGTATCAGTCTAATTTACTCGAAAGTTTTCATCGAATCTATCTTCACAATAGTTATGATTACGAAAAGTGATTGATATCTTAAGCTTGGATTCTTCATTAAAATATTCGCTATCGGACTTATGATTGGAAGTAATCGATTTTTAGGCTGTTTATAGATGGAAGAGAAGCTTTACAGCAGAATTAATCTGTTGATTGAAAGTCTGGTCCTTAGACTAGTAAGCCGATTATTGTAATATCTTTCTCAATAAAACGTTTTGTTTAACATTTATCCCAACAAATTAAACTTCGTAATTTCAACCTTTGTATACTTCGAGTTTTCAGTAGGCACAAGTGAAACACTGATGACGACAATACAGAACTTCACATACTACTTAGTAACGGTCCAAGTTACCACACCGAATATCGCCATGTACAGCGTAAATGTACGAGGATGAAAGACAGGAATAAAGAAGAAAGCGGTTGAAAGTGGTAGAAAGACGTCAAAAGAGAACAAGAAGAAATAAGAAAGTAATATATGTATACATCTGCCCCATTGAGATGGACTCTCGGCCATATCACCTACGAAAACCAAATTCACATTTATTGTATGAGGGCTAGTGAATACTACCTAAAATCATCTACAGTTTCCAACTGCTGGTTGCTGTTATCACGTGGACTCCAATTGAGGAGCCTATATTTCTCTACAAGGGTCACACTGGCAGTCGAGGACTTCATACAATAGTACCAGTCTGGTCACCCAAAACTCTTTCCACCCTGAACATAGTTTAAGCTCATACACACATTGTGCGACGAGGCAGATGGTGACTAGACATGTATAACATATGTCCAAGCTATTTCAATCGATGAAGATTCACGAACACACATAGACTGACTTTCTTCTTCTATCCAAAACTCTATGTCCGACTTTTGTATTACCGACATAGTGACACCACACCACAACACATAAACTATGCTATAAAGGCAATGGTGGTCGAAAAGCTGAAGTCAACACCAACAATCAAATAAAAGCAATCTTTCAGTAGAAGTCACTTCGAACTAGAGTGTTTGTAAGACTGTGGTCTATGTTTTCACTTAACAAGTTATGGTGTTTAGGGGTATGGCGCATTTATCGACGCCCAGACCAGGCTTTCTGAGTACCAAAGGATCTCTGGTAAGAAAATGGCACCGACAGAAAATTTCACCTCCAGAAATACTTTCATGATGACTTTGAATAAAAGTACAATGGATGTCACGCGAGAATATAACACTAGATTTCCTCAGTTCAGATAATGATTTAGCATAATCAATGACGACTGTGTATGAGTAAGACACCTTATGAAACGAGATATAATTCCATTGTATTGTCAGTGAGATAATGCAGAAAGACCTAGTGACTGATATGGGTTATTTAACACTACAACCGAAAACAAAATCTGCACACTGAAGCTTGCATAGTAGTCCATGAATTCAAGTTGTCATCATGGTTCGTAATAGGAGAAGTGGACAATTAAAAATGACACTGGAATGAACAAAAGGCAAACGAAGATTAGTAGAAGAAAGTTGAACAGTCTATAAATCTAAGTTATTATCATCGGTTTTGAGTCATCTCATCATTGGTTTCAAAATATCGATTCTCATAATCTCAAACATCCCATGTGAGGCATCAGCTTATACCTATCTACGCAGCTTAGACCAGCAATCAGAGAAGTTATGAATTACAAATCATTTCCATCATTACTGCATGTTTTGGTCTGACCACCCTTAACTTTCTAAAAATATTTTCTTCTCCAGTCACCAGTGTCTCAGTCGGTCAGCATCAAAGTAAGATCTCGCACTACTAAATAATCGTTTAAGTTGCTATACCTGATATCGAGAAACAAGGGAACAAAATGAAAAGTAGAGATCTGTAAACAAAAAGAGGAGGATGGTGAAGTAAGTAACAAAACGCGATATGATGGTTAAAATGAAGATAAGATATGAATGTGTCTGCACCACTGTGATCGATTCTGACTCCCAAAATCGATTTCGACTGTCACGAGAATTCGATGGTTTAGACTAATAATCACTGACTTTATGAGCCGATGTCACATTCCAGTCTGGCCATCTGTAACCCTTTTATTCAGCTTAAACCGACTGAAAATAAAAAGATGGTGAATAGTCAGGTATAACACACGTTTCAACTACTTCCATTCCCTGTCTAGTTACTCTACGCCTAATCACCGAATTTGTCGGTGGCTCCATCTGACGTAAACAACGTTTTGAAGACAGATACACACCAGGATTTTCGTAACCTCACTGTAACCTTGCCAGGAGATATCGCACTAAAACCAATACAAATTTCAAAATCACTTGAGTGATTAGTGCGTTTCATCACTTCAATCTGAGTCATTAAACCCAGGGGTGGTGCAGACCAATCCCGAAGTATTATCTTAGATTTGATAGTTGAGAAATTCATGCGGAACATACTTATCTTCTTCCTCATTACGTTTAAAAAAAGCATCATTTTGTCAGTCCTCAACAAAGAGACTACATCGTATGTGTACTCCAAGTCAATCAGATAGCCTTCGGTAGAAAAGTAGTCCCTGAACGGCTAGAGGCAAATATGTCCGCATAAATCAGTACACCTATAACAAATTAAGATTAGAATAGCGACATTGGCTACCGTTGGTTGATATGATGCGCTGTCGTCACCTCAGATGACAACCCTCTATAATCCCTTACATAGCTGTGTGAGTTAAGTTAATGTAAATTACATACTTGATTAGTTAAAGACAGCCCCAACACCTCTTGACTGATGTAGTTGAATATCACCCTCAAGTTTAGATAAATGGCAAGTGACAGCTGCTGGTAACTATGCTTGCGTTCAGAAACCCGCCAAATGATGGAAATCTAATTAGTGCATCCTAGTTCACATCAGAAACTTGATTGGATTTTCGTAATTTTATTACTCTTGAGCTGCTGCTACGCATCAAATAACTATTTAATTAAGGATCTCAGAATTTAGTTAGCCAAACTGATTTCTCTGTGGTTGTTATAGAAACATTTGGCTCCTTGTTTATAAGTTCATGTTTAACAGTTTATATCAGTTCGATAGAAACAATTCTGATTTCCACGCATTAGTTAATGTCTCAGTTATTTTAACTAGTAATTCTTGACCATCATTCTAAAATGCTTCTGGAGGAGAACACTTAGGTGCTAATGCTTTGTTTCCTTTCGAATAGGAGTCAACCCTTCCGATTTCAGAGAGTTGGTAAGTCAATAATCTAAATTTCATTCAGATTACGTTTCGATGTTGGGCAAAATAAGTAGGACTGTAGGTCAATTTAGTAATTTATTAGTGTTCTAGGATACCATCATGAGACTACCGGGAATTAACCTTTTTCAATTTGCCTAAAGTGTAGCGAATTTTAAATGTTAAGTTAGAATACTGAAAAAAAGGTGAAAATTGTTTAAAATACGTCATGTTACACTGTTAGGAAGCTGTATATAGCAGGAAGTTTAACTTCGGTCAAAAAGTGCATTACTCCTTTCAACAAAAATAAAAAAATACATAACACAAAGCAGAGCTCTAAATACTGCAAAACAGGTAAAACCGGCCATAAAGAACTTTAAGCGGTATAATCCATCAATCAATCAATATCAACGTGGGACCAGGTATTACTGCGTAATGGTCCCACTTGTCACACCTCATATCAGTACATCAAGTAGAAAGGTAGTGAAGTGAAGGATGAAGATAAGAGAATGCAGTCAAAAGAAATATAAAGTATGGGAAGAAAGAAAAGAGGAATGACAAAATGGTGAGATTCGGTATAGCGTCGTTAAAAGGAGGATAATGTGTGCATACATCTGCTCCACTGGCATCGATTCTCAGCCATAACCCATAGAGTCTCCAGCCACTGGTTCCTTTTGTCCTGCGGACCCCAGCCAAATAGTCTGCATCGCCTCACATGGCTAAAACCAACAGTCAAAGACTTCATACATTTATACCATGTTTTAGTCTGGCCACCTCAGGCCTTTTTCCAGCCTGGACCTACTTCGGCCAAAATTGTGTGGCGAGGCAATCGGTGACTAGGCATACGTAGTACGTGTCCTAACCATCTCAATCGATGAAGGTTTATAACCTCGTCTGCTGACTTACCTCTGCTCCCTAAAACTCTACACCTAACTTCTGCATTACTCACGTGGTGACACCACGGAATGCGGCCTGTACTACAAAGGCAACAGCGGTCAAACACTTGAAGCCTTCTTGTATCTTCCACTTTCAATGGCTATGTTTTACAACCATACAGTAGAACAGAGCGGACTGCTGTGCAGTACACGCGACCCTTAATAGACAAACGGATATCACGGCGGCGCCCTAGGTGGCGTTAATTGGCAAAAGCCAATCAAGCCTTTTGTATCTGTGCAGAGATCTCATCGGCAACTAATCCACCAGGGTTGATCCTACTTCCCAGGTGAGTGAAGTGGTCAACACACTCAACCACTTCACTCTCTATTGTTAACCATGGCTTCGCTGAAGACCAATCCTGGAGCAAAAATTTGCATATGGGTGGTGAAAACCGCATCCCAAACATTCTCAAATTCCCACTCAAAGTGTTAAGAATACTCTGCATCTTGTCAGCGTCTTCACATAATAGGACTATGTCATCTGCATATTCTAGGTCTAAAGAAAATTTTCCTGTGATTAGGTCTACAGTGAAGTAGATGTATCTACACCTTATATTCAACTAGGCTCGGATAATTGTATAATTTCATATACTCAGACACTTCATTTACTTGGTTCGTTTCTCCTCTTGTATTGTTCAGTATGTCAATATAGTCACTACTCTTGTCGTATATTTTTTGACGCTGAATCTTCCCTGAGGTGATATGAAGTGTGGTGACTTTAAGCAATACGCAACTATGCTATATTCTCCTTCGTTTACAATTAACTCAGTGCTAATAAACTTCATAAGTATTGGTGAATTAATCTGAATTACCGTAACCAATAGAACTATTACACAGCAAATACTCTGGTTATGCACGGAGGTTTTGTCAAGGTAGTAACAGAAAACCAAAATGCACTCGGCCACCTTGTGCGCATTCGTGTAGTAGGCGATGAGCTACACCTATTGTATGAGGGTTAATGATACTGCTTGGCTGCTCAAAACTCGGTAGGCGGAGCCGGTTTCAAACCCATGATTCATTGGTTGAAAGTCAACTGTCAAGACTGATGAGTCGCAGCTCTAAGTGAGGTAAGCAGCTGAACAGGCAATACAGTGCAGAGGATTGTAAACGACACAGTTCCAGTGACAGTAAGAAAAGTTCCCGTGGGACAAAAAGAATAAAAATATGACTAATAGGCAGATCATGTGTTTATATGTGTACAGAGAATATTTAGAAATGATAGTTATTCACCTTGGAATCATCTAAAATACTTAATAGTGTGAATGACTCACTGAGGTGTGTATAAAAGCGAACTAAGAGGACTAGTGAAAAAAACACTTACCTTAACGAACTGTCTAACTGCCCCAATCCACAATCAATTTCTTCATCAGGATACATATTGGCCTCTTTTGAATACTGTCGAATAAAGTGTTAACAAAATGTCTAACTTTATAATGGGGTGAAGATTTAAGAGAGTCTTCACGCAGACCCAAAGGAATTTCTTCAGCTGGACAATCATTCACACGACAGTCTGATGATGGACATCGTTTATCATCATCGAAAAATGGACAGTTGCGTTTCAAATTAACCTGAAAAAATTATGTATATTTCACGAAGAAGAGCTATTACAAATAACATTAGCAAGGTATGATATTCATATGGCAAAAACTGAATACTCTTTAGGTAGTGTATATCAGAACCATACTTCGACATCTCTACTGTGCATGGCTGTGTATCCAGATCACCTCTAGCAGTTTTCGTCAAATTGGATTTGATATTCACAGTGATAAGACAATATTTCTTGGGTACTTATTTAAGAGAAGAGAAAAATAAGTGTGAAGACTGTGCACTGTAGGTTGACGACTATTACATCATGTAGAAGCATAACCTGAAGCATGTCACCACATGAATGTAGAGTTTCTTGCAAAGACATACACAAGAATTAAAGCACAGTTATTTTCTTAATAAGTGAATGGTTCATGGATTCCCAGACGCGCTGATGGCATTCGATTAGACATAACTCATACTTTTCAACTACATTCAACATTAGAATAAGCTAACCATCAAAACACAATAGGAAATTATGGTCAATTACCGGTTTGTCTCTGTCAGTCAATTTAATAACAATCTATGCGGATTTTATATGCAAACTGACACCTGAATGCTCAACGAAGCTATTCGAAACTAAATTTTGGATAGGAAATAGCAGCTAATATGGTAATTATGAGTTAAAAACTAGACCAATCAGTTAGGATTTACCCATTGACGCTTCCAGAAATCGGTAGCAGTACATTAATTTATAATAGACAGAACAATAAATATATATGTAGTGCTTAGGAAGGTCTGTACGTCAAGGTAGATATACACTTTTGTTAATCTTGGATATCTTAAGCTGTATAGGACGACCAATTCAAGAAATTTATGCTGGTTTACAGGTTTAAACAAACTCTACATATGACACCTAAGGTTACCAATCAGTTTTATAAGTATTCACATTAGTGAGATCAATGGTCAAGTACATAGATTTGCAAGCGATAAAGTTTTCAGGTTAAATTACCACCCACTAAATTTTACTACCTAAAGTAAGAATTATTTATGATAATTAATGACTAAAAGTCAGAAACTTGTGTACACTAAATGATTTCAATGCTGATTGACAACTACTTAGTGGTATTCCATGCCAGACTGCTTATTCGATACAGCATACAGTGATACAGTATCACGAATAAACAACAAATAACACTATCACTATACTATATTAAATAAACAACCTAATACATAATTCTACTCTACCACGCTGCCTGAGTTTTATGCGCCAAAAATCCAAGAAATAAAGAACAACGTTACCGAAACAAAAGAGTTGACAACACGTTTTGTGAGGCATACAAGCGGTTGATCAAATACTTCAAGTAATGCAATTACGAAAATTAAACAATTCATACAAATGAGTCAAAAAGTTACCGCAACTACATGACTTTATGACAGTGTATATCACAGAACTGATGTTGCTGTATATGTGGATGGGTTCGAACTCCACTCCACTTACCTAGGTTTGAGCAGCCAGGTAGTATCATTAGCCCTAAGACACATTAGGTGAGGCTGCCTACTGCACGCCAATAAGAAGCGGAAGCATAACGAAAATACTGTTAACACTTGGTGGAAATAGAAATTTGATAACCCCTAGAATATTGAGAAATTGAGGTAAACGCGGTAAGCTGCTTGATAAACTGGTGAATTTATTTTTAAATGTCAGTTTTAGCTGTATTCTCAAGTTACAAGACAAACATTGGCAAAAAAACTATGAAACAAAAAAGCATGACGCAGCTTTTGCTGTTTACTTCCTTTCTAGAAGTTTCGATTGTACAGACCTCTTATTTAAATTGTTCCAGTCTCACTAAAAAGACATCAACTTTACCGAAATTTTTTACCAGCGTTTTAGTGTTAACTGAAGTCAAGCATCTCAATTAAAAATTATCAGAATATATCCTTTTCCTTTGAATTTGTAGGATAATACATGCTCAACCTCCATAAAACAAGTTACAGTTAGCAAGCTGTTGGCTGTAATTAAAATAGTACCGCTAAGTGATGTTAAAAAACTTCAGTCTTCTGGACACCTTGAGTTGCAATTTCTTAATGTTTGGGATGAGCTTTTCGATACCGAAGTGCAAATGTTTGCTCCATGACTGGTTTCCGTGCGTTTTTCAACAGCAGAGGGTGATGGTTGTTTGCAATGGCCACTTCACTTAAGTGGGAAGGCGGACCAACCTTGGTGGGTAATTGACAAGACAAAATCTTAACACATACAAAATCCTCGCTTGGCTTTTGACAACTTATGCCATTTATGGCGCCACTACGATATCCGATTGCTGATTAATTTCCAAGTGTATTGCGCTGCAGTTTACTTTGGTCATGAAACGGCTACTAAAAGTAGACATGAAAAGGCTTCAAGTGTTCGACCACCGCTGCCTTTGTAGATTAGGTCCTATTTGTTCATAAGATGTAATATGATGCAAATCTCATAATAACCTTGAGGCTGTTATCACTATGCTATCCCTAACGATCCTTTAGAGATCTCAATAAAATGATTGAGATGAAACTTGGTGGTAATGTGAGCTGGACGGAAGACACGAGACGTAACCTGAGGTATGATTTAAGCGACGATGCATTTTGGGCCTTTCAAGTACACTGGTTATCATAAAATGAGCCTAAGGAATACAAATGCAGGAGGAAAGTAGTAACTAATGATTCCTCATTTTGAGAATTCTCGTGAACCTGCTGTCATATATATATATCTTTAACCAAGAGAGATGTGTATGGTTTCAACGTTATTTTAAAGTATACCTTATGCTTTGCAGCACGTCGATATAAACTGTTTTGTGGTAATGTGTCACTGATTACCTAGAAAACGTTGCCCTTAAAGCACTTCAAGATCAAACAGTTAATGTGAGAGCGATTCAGTAGTCCGATTCGAAATTAGATTGTGACAACACACACTAGTGAATTTAGACAACCATAAAACTGAGAGGACCACAAAAATCGCCACTCGAATAACCGAAGGGTTGTAAGTAAAACTCACAATCAGTAAGTTGAGTCATGGTTTGGCCTTAAAAAAACCGTTAATACAGTAGATTTCAGAGTCACTGGAATATCATAACGTAGGCAAAGAGTTGAGATATATGTCGCGAAATTTGTCACTCCTAAATCTCTCACAAGTCTTATGTGCAGGGATAAGGTTAACTGATTTAGGCAATCGACCTCCAACCAGTGGATTACGGCCACAGGTATACCTACCGAGACCTGCGGAGCCGGGTAACTTCACTGGTTCTGACATATAAGGTCCACCGCCTTAAGCATGGACATGTACGAAACTCCTGAGCTGCATTCCGACTTTTTGGAAAAAAAAAGTTTGACATGTGAATGGAATCATTTCCCAACAGTTTAGATAAAGCTGTGAAAAAAAACATTTATTGGTTTTATGAAATGCTGTTTGCTTGATGAAACTGCCTAAATTTTTATACATCTCAAGGATCTGAGAGTCGTTAATCTGTGGTCCTAAAAACCCTAAGGTCATTGGCTAGAAATAAATTCCACATATGACTAACACAACATGAGATTTCAAGAAGATATAAAATCGCTCTGTTGACGTTGAAAACTGCTAGCATCACTCAGATAACTACCCTGCAAAGCAAATACCTACAATAGTTCATTTTTGGTGAATCCTTATAAGTGACTTAACAGTAGCATAGCCATACCAGTGAAACGAAGGGTACATCAGGTGGAATTATTCTACCTCAAATAGATCCTTCGACTGTCGAATACGTGATTCAAACGGAAAATCAATTGGCTGATGGCAGACAGCTTGCTTCAAATCTGACACGCAATCAACTCAAGTTATTCACTTGTCATGACAAGCACATTATATTATTATTATTATTATTATTTCCCGATACAGTCTCATCCCACTTAGGTAGCTCGACATGAAACAACAAGTGCGCTAACCAAGCGTGTGATGCAAAATAAACTATTCTCGTCTTGATTAGGAAAGCTGGTACTAATCCTGATTATTTTAAAGTTAACATCCTTTGAGATGATTATTTCGGTGTAAATAAAGTTATAGATGTAAATGACTACATCTGTACATTCATTTGAATCAATATATAAATTACCCAGTCAACAATCTTGCTGAGCCATGAATCTTATTTGAGGCCAGATGTTGTGCACATGAGGCCAAACGTATGGACGATGGAGTTGGTTGTAGGACTAACAATCGGTACGTTAGACCAAACGCAGAGCCAAATATACCAAACATAAGGCCAAATACAAGGCTGAAAAACATAGAGCCGGATCCAGGAAAAATCCTGCAAAACTCTACATCTGGCCCTACATTTGACCCGATGTCTTCCACAGTGAGTGGCTCAATATTGCCCTATTTGGCCCGGTGATTGTTGATTAGGATTGACAAATACATGAAACCTTATTGCATACTTACTTCGAAATAGTGGAAAAAATCCTTTTGGATAATATTCTTGATACGAGGCAAGATTTTAAGGTTGTTGAAAATAGTTATGTTTTGAACATCCGCATTTATATCTTCCACCAACCCGGTCAACTACGAGATTTGCTTACTGTAAGGTGATCTTACATGAGTAAAACAACCCTCGAACTCCTCATTTTTTGTCCCGACAGGAAAAACCAATATCGTAAGTAAAATCCAGAAATAACCTAGCCCAAACATCAAACTACAGTTGTTACGGAAAACGAGAAGTTAGCCTTGAGCTTGTATTAACTGACCAGTTTATTATGAATTGAAGTTAATTTAAACACAAATCTTCGTCAGATACAACGCTTGATGATAACAAGTTGATACACCATTTTCATGATCACTTTGCTATTTAAAATCCATCAGTTGCTAACCAAAGGTTAAATGTAGTCATGAACATAGGTCTAATATCTCTTAATTAACATGCGTCAGATCCAATATCCAATATTCCATTATTGATAGTGCGAGCGTGGAAAACTGGTAGTTTCTCATCTCTCGCGTCTAGTTCTTAGGGCTTGGCTCCAGTTGTTCGGTTCACTCCTGCAATGGACGGGGAAATCCCCTCTGCTTTCTTGCTTTTAGCTTCGGTGAGATGGATGTTTTGTGGGTTAGTAAGTTGTAATTTGTGGAGTGATTGGGGAGCTACGGGTCGCTGGGAAGTTTAGAGAACTGCCGTGACTCCTGTCTGTGTAGGTACCTGAAAGAGGATAGTACGGTAGTGGTAAAGGAATGAAGAGAGAATAGAGAAGAAAATGAAAAAAAATAAAAAAAGAGGAAAAAATAATAATATAGGGGAGAGAAAAGGGAAGGAGAAGAAAAGGAGGGGTGAAAAGAGAATGAAAGAAAAGTACTTGGGAATTGCCCAAATGGTAGCTTGGGTTTGGTTCCTACAGAAGAATTAGTAGGTAATGTGTGTGTATTAAGGAGAGAGATAGTGAGTGGTAGTTACGAGGGAGTTGGGGACTAGTGAGGTTGGTGACTACCTGAGTACGTCCGTGGTAGTCCATGAGAGGTGATATAACTGTCTAATCGCCTCTTAAAAGAGTCGATTGAAGGAGCTATAACGATGTCCTGGCAAGGCATTCCATAAAGCACACACTCTCAGGGAGAAAAATTTGGACCTGAGTGTGGTGTTGGCTCTCTGGTGTGCTATCTTAATGGGGTTTCTTCGTGAAGATCGTTGAGTTGCAGGCAAAATTGATTTGTTTGCATGGTCTGCCTGATGGGCGATCTTGTATGCCATAATGAGGTCACCCCTTTTCCTGCGATAACCCAAGGTAAATAGGTTTAGGTGTTTAAGTCTTTCAGGATACGTCTTTCCCCTTAGCCCCAAAACACATTTTGTTGCAGTTCTTTGTATTCTTTCAAGGAGATTAAAGTCTGTCTTGAGTGTTGGAGGAGCCACCGTATTGAAGACCTCTAGATGCGGCCGCACGTAGGATTTGAAAATGGTGAGGAAGAGTTCGGGAATGAGGGCGCCAAGCTGTCTACGCAGAAAGTGTAGAGTGGCGTTCGCTCTGGTTGTCATACCTTTGTAGTTGGAGCTGGTGTCCAAGGTGTCGGAGAAGTTGAGCCCCAAATCTTTCTCCATGGACACTCTGGTGATAGCGCGGTTGCTCAGCATGCACTGGAAGTCGGTCGTACTTGCTTCATTTTTACTAATGTGATCTTGTGTCAGTGCTAAGTTGGGCTTGGGAGTGTGAGCTCAAAAGCTCGGCAATCTCTAGACTGCCTAGTACACTCCCGTCATGGCCTGTGACAAGATTCACTCCCTTACTGGTCGACTTTCTTCTTGACATGAAGCGGTACAGGTTTTTGGGATTGCTTTGTAACCTCGCCACCAAGTTTGTTTGGTAGGAAAATCTGTCGTTACGCACTCTAATGTTACAGAGGCTGCGAATCCTTTTGTAGTTCAAGAAGTCAGACTCCCTGCGTGATGTACGCCACTTGAACCAAGCCTGCTTCTTGCTCCGGATAAGCCTCTCTGTCCCACGCTTTAACCATGAGGTTCTCATTGATTGTCTGTGTGTTACTTCTGGTACACTGTGACTGATGGCCCCAGTGATTATTTTCTTCACCTCCAACCAGTGTTCATCTATTGTGAGATGAGTCCAGTCCACTGGCCATGATGCATTCATGAGGTAGTCCCTCATGAGCTCATAGTTGGCCTTGCTGTAGCAAGGGAAGGTGTTGGACGTCTCCAGTTGCAGAGCCTCCCTAGTTATCATGGAGAAGGTGATTACAGCGTGGTCACTGAGGCCAAGGGGAGGTTGGATGCAAACATCCTCAATGAGAAGTTCATCGTTCGTCAGAACGTAGTCAAGGCGCGATGCGTTTCCGTTAGGTCCCCAGCGTGTAGCATCACCCACTTTCTCTGAGAGGCCAGCAGTCTTAATTGCATCCTTCAGCTTCTGATTGAAGGATCTGATGCGTCTCCCTTCCGTCTCGAAGAGGATGGACGGGGTGTTGAAGTCGCCGGCAATGACTACGGAATCGTAATTTGCAGAGGAAGTCGTTAAGATAGCCTTGATGATCATTTCCTTATGTGTAGGGGAGCTGGTGGGGGACCGATATATGACTCCGAGCAAATATTTGGTACTGTGGAGAGTGAAGTAGCACCATAGAGACTCTGGGAGCTGGGTTAAGGCCGTATCGCTAACCATCCTTGCCTTTAAACGGGAGTTTACGTAGATAGCCACTCCCCTCCTGCTCTATGTTCCCTGTCCCTGCGGAAGAGTTCCATGCCAGTAACATGCATCTCTTCGTCGGAGATGTCTGGCGAGAGCCAGGATTCGGTGATGAATATGATGTCGGAGTGCTGATGTTCACGCAGCGTCCTCATTTCTGCTACCTTCCCTCTTAGCCCCCTAACGTTGCTGTACATACATATTAGAGTGTGCCTGGTGAGGGGGAGGTCTGGTTGTGTATTTTCGCAGGATGAGCGCTTATGTGGTTGGGTCTAGCCTCGCCAGTCCTCATAGGACTGGCATTGTTCCGTTTTTTTTGTTTTTTTTAACTTGGGTGGGGGCTGTGGCAGTGGTGGCTTCTTTACTTGATGTATCTAACTCACTGGTCAGCGCCTGTGTGACGACCACTGACTCCAGAGGTCTTGGTGGTTGCCGTCTCTCCTCTTGCCTTGTGGGTCTAGGCTTACTTTCACATATACGTATTGAGCCACCCATGCGATCCTTCGCATTATACCATGCCTGTAGAACGTCTGTGAGGGAGGCATATGAGTCGAACTGGACGGCGAGTAGTCTGGGATTGGGTATGGTCTTCAGGTGCGCTGGCCTTGGCAGTCTACTGACGCTGTTGGCCGGTATACTGTTGAGACCAACTTTGGTTGAGAGCCATTGCCATTGTTGGACGTCGTGAAAGTACCGATCTTTGACCGAGCGGTCACTTGGCAATTCTGGAATCCCATGTACAACTATAGTGTTGTTTCTGTTGGGATTTCCAACCGCTGACTTTCTCTCCTCCTCTCTTATTGACCATGGCTTGTCAGGCCTGGCCCGAATTTTACAGGCATTAACAACGTCCGGTTGTCGCGAGAGGAGGAGTGTGTCTTCAGCCTCTTTGGTAGTATTTAGGGACACACGTAAAGGGGGTGGCTTATCTCGGGGTGCACGGCTTCCTCGAGAAAGGCGACATAAAGTTGCAGGGAGGGGAGGGAGTCCCAGCATCTGACAGTAGTCGGTCCACATTCGGCTGTCAAACCGTTCCCTCTCGACCAACAATGAGTCTGTCGATACATCGACGTTGAACAAAATGATCGAGTTGGTCCTCCTGTGACCTGGGTTCGTTGTGGGTGGCACGCCCGACTTCCCAATGGGTTTGAGTAATTCCACTGGTTGTTTCTCAGTCACGGTGTGTGGGGTGTTTGGAATGGGTTTCGTAGAGGCTTCAGCGGTCGATGTCTTTGGCCATACGCTTGACGTCCCCTGGGGCCGGGTAGGAGGTATGGAGACTTGACCTAATATGGTCCCCACGCGAGGTGGCGTGCCACAGCTGGAGCTCTAGGTCTGTTTCCAGGTCTCTCTGTGTTATCTTTTGGTGTTAACCCTACTTTATTCGAGGATGCTGGTAGCTTTTGCGTGGCGGAGAGCATCTCCTTCAGGCTTTCTGTGCGGAGTGCGGGCATTTTCCTGCACTCTGGACAGATGTACCAGAACCACTTGCATGGTTGTCTCTTCATCAGCTTATAGTATTGTCGGGGGACTTTGGTGTCGCAGTGGCAATGCGCCCATCGTTGACATAGGTTGCATGCAAATGCCTCATCGACTACCGAAACAACTTTGGTGCAAACACTGCAGCCATCGGGTGTCGTAATACAGCCTTCCTTCCATGAATAAGGTGCTACGGATTGTGGCGAACTGCTTGTGGCTGCCTTGTTCTGAAGCCTTTTACGTCGTCTTCTATTTCCAGGCATGGTATGATCCTTGCTCAAGATAGGACTAGTTTGTGACGGGCTAGTGCTACTCTGTGTCACCTGTCTGATGGCTACTGGAATTCTAGAAACATGGGTTGGCCACTTCTTTAGAAGTTCGGTGTTCTGCCCTACCTCTGTTTGTCTTCTAGTACAGACTAGTGTGTTGTTTGGGGTGTTTTGGCCGTTTTTGTGCACGACCGCGTTATCCGTGTCAAAGCTTCAGACCTAGCGTTTTGGGCAGACATGTCGCTATGATATAAACTTCTTGGGAAAACAAGTAGTTAACAACAATAAGAGGGTTGAAGACTGAATGCAGCAAAAGGACAGAATAGAAAAGGGAAGATAATTTATGTTGGCTCACCTTCAGACACTTGTCACTTGATCCTCTGCTCTTGACCAACGAGTTTAACCGTAAGCTCCAGATGCGTATGTATAACCAGGAAAGATATTTCCTGGGGAATGACCTCCGAGGAGAACCGAGAGCTAAGGCAGTTTGGCAGTTGAAACGCCCAAGAACCACTGACAGGTGGACCGGTTGGTTCAAAGGAATAATAATGCCAATTTTCAACTGTTGAGAAGTGAGCTGACGAATACGCAGGGGTGAGGTGCGTGGACGGACAGAAGTGCTGCAAACGTTCGATCTTTTTAGATTGAGTATTGTAAGTGGGAGTTTTTCAATGTGGAAAAATCCAAAAGCTGAGAGACGAGCGAAAACACGTCACTGTTCAAGGAGCGCGCCGCAAATCGCAAATGACAGCTTTCAAACTTGATATTTACGTCTTGGTAGTAGGTTTTACTTTTATATATAACGTCTATAGAAATGAATGT